GATCTGGTGACTGGTAGGGCCTTGGTATGGCATGCTAACGAGGTTGGGTGATGGGGGTGGTTGGACTTGGAAACGGGAAACTGGGGTTTACCGTATGAAGTCTCACCTTGGTATCATCAGGTATCACCACTATTTGATTATGAGATAGTCGGGGTCCGAATCGTGCGAGGAACTCTGCTTTAAATTGATATTTCTTGATGTTTTCAAAACACGCATTGTAAATTTAGTGATTGTGAAGTTGCTTGGCTGAACCCTGTTCAGTAAGAAGCGAAAGCGTTCCGAACTGTATACGTTTTCCAAACTGTGTATATGGAGCATTGGCCTGCTGCCTTCTATTTCTGTGATTATAGATAGACTCTTCTCACAGCATGAAGGATAAATGCGCGCTCTTAATAGTTAAAGTACTGTTAAAAGCTTTAAACATTTACGAGACCTTCTCATCATTTGACCTAGAGAGGAAAATATTTCTAGACGACCGGTTCCAAATATAATCGACCCCGTTAGAGATAACTGGTTTATTTTAGCTCCTTTACAGAGTAACCTTCTAAGGGTTATCATGTAAGCCAAGGTTATTGGGACTTCCACCTGTTTTGACAATACACGCTACAATATTTATTAAAAGCTTTGATAAAGCTAATTTGAGTATGAAACACTATTCTTAAACAATAAAGGCTTTGTTGATAAAAGCGTTAAATATATACCAAGATTTGATTGATTAAATCATTCTAACCCAAGATAAGATTACAGTACGCATCTGTTTCAAGAGCTTCTTAAAAGAATATTCTAAAATCTCCCAATTTCGTGTTCTTGTCAAGTGTATTTATGAATAAGGTGCCTACGAGTAATTCCTTGAGATCTGCTTGGCTAATCGAGCAATATTTTTGTTTACGTTTCCATTAACTGCAAATACATTAAGGCCAAACCCTCTAACTGACTACTGTTTCTTGGCTGGTTGAGAATAGAATGGGTGTGCTTGCGTTGAGCATGTCAGTGATTTCATACATATGGTTAACTGCATAGTTTGTGTGTGAATGATTACATAAGCAGTATGTGAAGTTATCATTGATAAAAAGAATGAAAGTATGTTTTTCTTGAGATAAAATCGGCTGCTGGAGCGTTCGCTCATCACGCCGGTGATCCGACTTTGGATCACCTAATCTATATCACCTAGGTTATATCAGACACCAGTGATCATACGATTGAATCCCAGTTCGCCTTGATTATGCTCTTTTGTCTGTCAGCACCAGACTCCGGTATGTAGGTTTCAACAAAGCAGTAACATTGGGCTTTCTACAAACATCAGGCTAACATGTCATTATGTAACTTTAACATTAAATGTTGTTCAAAACGGTGTTTGACCATCTCAGTAAATGGCATTATATTCAGCATTCCATGCCCATATAAGTTCCTACCTCTTGTTGCAAAGTATGCAAGCCACTGTTCATAGTTTAGCCATCGGTCACTTATCCATTACCATTATGCAGTATTTTACCAAATAATTTGACTGATTTGATGAAATGAAAAGGTTCTAATTCTGACACAATGGTGATCATTATCACCCACATGGGTACACTGTGTGAAGCCCGTTTCTGGTTTCCCCCGCCGTGATATTGCTGGAATATTGCTAAAAGCGGCTGAAAACCATACTCACTCACTCCATTACGGTATCGCAATAATTCGCCCTGTGGTTAACCAACATAATTAATTTTGGTAACGCGCTTGGCCTCTCTCTCTCTTTCTCCCTCTCTCTTACTCCCTAACTCTCACTCTCTCATTCACTCTCTCTCAACCTCGCTTACTACCCCCTCGCTCTCTCTCACATCTTGTACTCTTATATTGGAAAATGTCACAGAAAGGGCATGAGTGGGTCGTACAAAAATATATAGCTTTTTCTGTTGATATACATTTTTAAACTGTCCAGTGAAAACGTTCAAGGGGTTCTGTCAACTGTTCTCTCCAAATTCAAAATGTCACTTTCAGAGGCACTGTGTGCCTTTTGTAAAGATTCCGAAACTTCAAGAACATCCTTTTTCTTCGCTCTAATATCAAACAAGACATATTCATCAATTCATATTTTTTAGTGCAACTGTCAAGTAATATGTCAAGTATGCCCCGCTTCAAACGCCCCCTACACAGCATGGATAACTGGACATGCCTTCATTTCGCAATAAAAACCCTCTGAAGCTACAAGTTCAAAGATGCTAGCTCAGCTGTTTTTAGAGCCTATTGATCATGACATTCATTCGTTCAAGAGCACGTATTCTGTGGCTTAGCATGCAATATTAGTACTTTTAATTACACATCTGTCAAAGGCAATTGATTCCTTTTCTACAGAGAGTCTATTTTAGACTCTGATGAGGAAAGTACGAAACGATCGCACTTCGTATTGAGCAGAGTGCGTGGTATATGCTACAGTGTAGAATGTATGGGAATACATGTGATGAATATGCCATCGGTTGCGATGTGGTTTGAAGATAAATATCTCCTGTTTCGAAATCAAATGGGATCTAAGAACTGGTCACCCTTTTGGAGCCACATTTGCCACGTTTAATGCATTGCAAATGTGTAATGCATAAATATATATGTATGACAACATTGATTTTTAAATCAAAATGAATAACAAAATAGACAATTACGATAATAATGGTAAATATTCTTGATGTGATTAACATTCACAGCAGCTAATACATTGAGGCCCAAGGACAATGTTTATTCATGTCCATGGTCCTAGCATGCACTCAAGAATCCCTATGAAACAGTGATGTTCGCCAAAAGGTGAACGTAACCTGTTCCATCGTAGAACCCGTCACAAACACATGCAAAGGCTTGTGAAGCGTTCACCTGGAAAAGGCGGTACCATATGGTACAAGTCAAAACAGGGAATTGCATCAGACATCATTTTGGACACTCACTGATACCTCAAATTTGGAAATGCTTGGAACGTTTTCTGAGGACTTGAGTGCCGTAACACTGAACAAACAATTCACAAGAAAACCTCTTGTGATGCTTTTTGAAATGTTGATTGAAACTCCAAGGTTGTGAAATCAACACAAGAAAGGCAGGAACTGGTGAAATGCTGCTCGACACAGAGGGAAATCTGACTGAAAGTTGAAGCCAGTCTCGGGGAGGGTTTTGTGTGAATCTGAATCTTTTTGCAAACATCAAAATATGAAACCACCAAGGTGATCTCACTGGTCTCCTATTTTTCTAGGTCAGGATGGTAAAATAGTGGAACGGAAGAGGCTATATTTTGTTCTTTCACTGAAACATGTCCGCTGGCATTACATTTTGGTCATTGTTTGCGGTATTTCTCTGAGTTTTCATTTATGAAATCCTTATCATTTTAATTTCCGCTGTTTACCATTAGGAAAAATATTAATCAGCATCCGAGTCAAGATTGAGTACGAAAAAGGATTCCACTGGGGTCAAGAGTACAGTGGTACTTAAATATTACTGGCTACCTGCGAATCAGATGATAGAGAGTGGTCAGGGAAACACGCTCAGGAACTTGCACGTTATAACCACATTCAGTATTCTGTTCAGTCAGCCTGACTCTTACATCATGCCATATCATCAGGATCATTGAATAATCACGAAAAGCCAGGACCATGCCAATTAGTAGAATTACAAACATACATCGTTCAGATCCCCGAATGAGTTGGATTTATTAATAATTTTTGGCGTGTTTTTTATTTGTTTCTCGGCTTATTCTAAATGTTCTTTAAAATTCCAGTAATCAACCGTGGCTTCAATGCACAATAATAGGAATACTTTTGCTTTCTCTCGAAATAAAGCAAATTTATTATTTTAACGATGACAATCCGGTAAACCAAGCAGCAGCTGTGTTTTATGCGGACGTTTTATCTTTTACATAATGTTCAATTCAAGTAAGGACAGGTCTTATTTTCATATAGTTTCTTTTGCTTCCCGTAATGTAGATACGTATTACTTTCATGATGTCGTCCTCCTTTAAGCGTTGTACGTATTTATGCAAATGGTAAAAAGAGTCACAGTCCTGGAATCATTATAATGAAATTTTATATCATTTTACAAAAAAGAGAGACCGGAAAATCCTGTTTAATCCTTACCATCTTAAGATTATTGTTAGAAAGATAGATCAAATGTACTAGAACATAGGGCTGAAGACAATACAAATATATTTAGACGCGGTACTCCAGAGATAGTTACCTATAGTTTACAATTCCTCAGCATTTTAACATGTTTACATCTGAGATATTTGGCAAGATTAATAAGGGATCGAACAAATAAATCTAATCCTGTTATCGCTGAGACGCTTCTAACTCATTCCATGTCCTGTAATACTGAATGCATTCACAATGCCATTTAAAAAGTGCTCTTATGTAACATATGCTATATTTGGGATTATGCTTTCTCAGTAAAGTACTGATTCGAGTACATTTTAGGGAGCCGTGCCTTTTCGCACTTGTACGGGGATGTACATAAAGTATGTGGTTCAGACTACCTGTTGGCAGACTTCCACATTTTTTGGAAGCCGCAATGGCGGAGTAGATGAGGTAGTTCTGAGTGGTACCGATTTGGTGACTGGCTGCTAGGGTGTGGGTTCGACTCCCGGATGGGACCCTAACCTCAAAAAGTACTAGAATGTTTACTTTACTGAAACAGTATATTTCCAAAGATAGAATATGGTAATATAGAACGCAAATAAGCAAAATGTGGCCTTTTATAACTATATATATGTTACATCACTCATTATCTTTAGGGGCGGTGGGGTAGCCTAGTGGTTAAAGCGTTCGCTCGTCACGCCGAAGGCCCGGGTTTGATTCCCCACATGGGTACAATGTGTGAAGCCCATTTCTGGTGTCCCCCGCCGTGATATTGCTGGAATATTGCTAAAAGCGGCGTAAAACCATACTCACTGGCTTACTCATTATCTTTAATTAACTGACACAGCCCTTTACACACTCTCTGAGTGCCTATGATGTTGTACCCACTTATGAATTTGGTTCTTGCTTTTCTAGGAACCCATGATTGAATTGAAGACGGTAAAACGGAATTATAAACGTGTAAGAAGAAGCGCCATCAGCTGTGCTGCCAACTCCACCGAAGATCGTTGCTGCCGCTACCCCCTCCTCGTGAACTTCGTCGACTTTGGTTGGGACTGGGTAATCGCCCCCCGTGATTATAATGCCGATTACTGTTCAGGAGAGTGCCGTTATGTGATGCAGGACGAAAACCATCATAGTTACCTGCAGCAACAAGCCACAGACACCGGCCCCTGCTGCACGCCCACGTTGATGTCCCCTATTACATTGCTCTACTTTGACCACGAGCACAATATTCTGTTCACAAAACTCCAAGATATGAAAGTCGAAAGGTGCGGTTGTGCTTGATTCGGACTGTATTGCAGACAAAGAGAACAGGTATTGCATTGCATGATTAAAGGTCTACCGAAGTCCTCGTCTTTCGCCATCGGTTTTGCAATCCCAATACGGCGCGGGAATGTGATGGGGAAAACATTGCCGATCGGAGATGTTTGGCGCCATGTGATGGATTACCATCCATCTGCCCTTAATAAAATTGACTGTGCTTTTGCACAATTACCATAGCAGTGAAAACTCCTTTTTTGAGGCTTAGTTTAGGAAGCAATAGAGAAAAGCTCGTTATTAATGATCGAAGCAGCCCATCATTGCTCGGTCAGAAGTTGCCTCTGAAGTTGCTACTACCGTACTAAAAGTGGACTCGAAGCCTCTCGTGATGACCGTGACATCACTGTAATCCTATAAGGCTATTATCCACCGATCTTGTGCACACATAATTGTGGGTTAATCATACGTCAGTCTTAAATTCTTCTCGACTTGTTCCAAACTATGACGTCTGTTTCAGTAATAATATGTGATGTGCGATTCTCAACTACAGTGCTCGCGCAAGAGCTTCGCGTAATCTTCAGATGATATTGGCCTCCTGTTAGAATAATGACTGTATTAGCACTAGCTTAAGTTAAAGTAAATTAGTACCTCTGAAACAACGATTGCAACACAGGTACGATGCATTTATATATCGTTGAGGAGTTTCAATACGCCCTTTATAAGGTAAACATGTACAAATATACTGTGAGGTACACTAAACACCTAGATATGAAGTTTCCATAGACGTCCCTTGATTAACAAGCTATATATATGTATGAATATAGTGTGTATCTTCTGTACTTAATGTTCACAGAAATGCAATGATACATCACATTGCTGCAAGCAATGATTCTGTGCTGACTTAGAATCGCCTATTTCATACGTGAATGTTCAAAAGGAAACGACAAAACTGTATATATGTTTGCGATTAGAGTGTTTTGACCTAGAGACACAATGTAATTATCAAATGAAATTATATTATCTGTGCTGTTTAACACTATCATTTTTTGTAAATATTCTGTAGCTTGTAAATTGACTTACATCTAAATATGTCATATATTTGCCTAACAATGCAACGAAAATTTTCATTAAGTAATACAAACTATAAGGGTGTTATTTGTGACAAGCTAACCTTCAGAGAAAGTTACCACGAAACCGACCTTGTCTTTCAGCTTATGGCATGACATCCAATCGCCTATGAAACATGCCTTTAACATCAGACTTAATGAATTACATGCTTGATCTTATGCAGTGTGACAATAATGGAGTAATTTGTAACAGACTTGTTTTAAATGGCATTAACATGGAACACTTCCGTATTGCATGAATATTCTAAATTATTGTCAACGGTATTTGCATGTCCATGTACTGTATTTGCTGATGTGATCTTGGGTCCCGATCCACAAAGCGTTCGTAACGTTACGACCTGTCGTAACTCTATAGTTTACCATTGGCTTACGAATGTCGCAGCGCTACGAACGCTATGTGGATCTGGACCCTGGACTTTACTGATGTAACATCTTGGTACAGTGGTTCAATAGACATGCGCTGAGAGAAGAAAGTGCTTGCGCGGCTGTTTCGTATAATTTGTCTTGTGATTTATGTTTAAAATGGCCATGCTTATTAATCTAGGAATCTTTTCAAGACAGTAAATAACTGTTAAGTTATGCGTGAAACAGGGATGTCAGTATATAGGATGTCCTTTAGAATACACTTTGTTTATGTGTGGGTGAAAATGTAGGTAACTCATCAGTGTCTGACAATGTTACACAGCACTGCGTCTTGTATCAGCTGGTGTTCTTGTTACATGTTAACCTGTTGTTCTGCATCACACCGATGTCAGCTGTAACTCGTGGTATCTATTTGTGTTTGCCATTCAATTTTTATATACCAGTTACTACAATCGTGTTGCAATAAGAAGGTTAAACTACGTAAAACGCCCATTTTCAAGTTAGACCTGCTTAAGGGATTGGCATAATAGCCATGCTCTGAATGAACAATGTAAGAAAAAATACATAGTTCTTTTCGTGAAACCTTTGTTAACATTACGCTGAACTCTTAATCAATATTAATGAACTACTGAAATCGAGGCGGTTGACTGCCGAGTGGTAAAAGCGTTCGCTTTGCGCGGCCTGGATTAGATTCCCTGCATGGGAACAATTTATGAAGTCTGTATTGTACCCTCATGTGATTAAACTGTTGATACAATATTAAAAGCGGCTTAAAAATATGGATAAGTAAAACCCAGAGATGACACCAGGTGTTAGCGACACATGCCACGAGATACAATACATACCACGAGTTCGCCGGTTTTGTTTGAATATAGGGCAAGAATAAGCCGCACAATGTTTTAGTTGTTAAGCTTCATTTGAATAGATATGGTGTATTTGTGATCTTTACCTGTGATAACACTGTTCTGCGTATATGGGCCTTTCTCTTAAATGTTGAAATTATGCAAAGAATGTTTGGAGAACTCACGACAGCTTAATACGATTTACATATGTTTGAAATTCTTGAAATTTTTTACTTTTAAACCATTTGAACAATGTCAATGTAAAAGTGTTTCAGGCCAGGAATATTAGGGTACTCACCCAACAAAAACGTTTAGAAGACCTGTTACGACAGTTCAGACAGTAGCATGACATTTGAGAAAATCGTGTGATCAAGTACACAACCAGATCGAACGAAAGATGGGATATCTTCAAGTTCATTACAATTATATCTCAGTTGTCGCTTCGGCTTAACAAAGATCAGAGGAATCCCATTCAGTTCAAGTCAGAACGACCTTGTGTCAACTTTGAATGACAAAGGAAATGACAAAGAAGAAGTCGACATTAGCCAATCAGAAAGCAGTTTTCTCGAGCTTTACAGCTCAGGTTTTAATATGGCGACTTCCGTTCCTGGCTGTGCTTAGAAGAATAGTTTGACAAAGTTCTCAATTCAAAATATACCTCCCATCAAAAGTTTAGACTCACTTAAAACACTCACTATATGTTATGATATATATATATAGTTACATTGAACATCGATTTCTCCACTAGCTTGGGGGAACCAACTGCAAACCTTATGCAGATGAATTGCACGAGGATCATGCATCAAATTGCTGAAACGCATGTGCAAATATCTTGCAAGTGAACATATGCGTTTTGGTGTAAAGTTGTGTTAAGAATTCGCCAATTATCACTGATTTTTATCATTTATTGAACTTATGACAAGAAACTTTTCAACGTTATGAATTTGTTTTACAATACAAACAATCCATGTGTAAACAGTACCTTTAAACAATATAGAATATTTTGCAAAATTTTGTTTAGAACACTTGAGTGAAGTAAGTGGCTATATTTACACTAGTGAGTCTAAACTTTTGATGGGAAGTATGTGACAAATACATACGAGAAAAGTCTATATTGTTTACTTATTTGTGTAGATTTTATGCCAGTACCTCCCATGGCATAAGACAAGTCTTCTCCGTTTAAAACCTTTATCAAGCGAGCTTTTAGCGAGGAAGGAGTCGCATAGTCTGAACCTGTCGTTCGGAATACTTCGCGTTGACATTTCCGAGCCTGATGATCAGAAAGCACATTCGGGCTACCATTTTCCCGATCTGGTAATCGACGTTTTGATTGGTCCGACGAAAGGTCGTTACAACCTGACTCATTACGGGATGTCCTCAGATCTTTTTAAGCGGCAGCGAGATCTAAGATCTGAATTCAATAAGATTGGAGTATCTTCTGTACGACAATTTAGATTGATTTTTTTCTCTAGGATGCCATGACAATTCCTACGCCCTCGTTATTCAATCTAGGTTACAGAATATAATTCTGATTGCATCATTCAATGCTCCGTCAACGCCGTACTCGGTCAACTGTACAAAACGTTCGTTGTGGTCCCTTTCGAAACTGGATTCAGGTCGAAACAGATTACTTTTCCTTTAAACAACCTTGAAAACCAAACGCAGTTGTACAGGAGACATGTAAGGTGTTGGGTACGGCAATGTTAGCGTGAGGGTAGGATGCATCCATGTTGGGATAGGGATGACTATTTGGGGTTCTGGTTCCCGTTTCAGAATGCCATTGTAGCGCTGCGACTATCGTAACTCCCATACTTTAACATAGAGGTACGACAGTCGATAGCTTTGTGAAACGGGTCCCAGAAGGGGACGTGGAATTTTAGCCCAACAGATAGCCACTGTGCCAGAAAATGCTCGAAATAAACATTAATGCTTCAGACTATTACAAAAGAAGTCTGATCTACATTTTATGGAAACAACACATTTTAGGTATATTGTTTGGGACTTTTAAATGTTTGTTTTTCAGCTGTAGCTGAACTAAATGTCAGTCTCAACAACAAATTGCAGTCCTTTCGTATTAAAACTTCTCTTTAACACATATTTCTCAAATCGGTTTATATCTTTACTTAAAATCCGAAACTATTTTATTAATGTTCATGTACTTGTGGTATTTTTACTTGAATCAGCAGAATAGCGGAGTGTGGTCAGCGGTTTTGATCAGGTGTCGTGTAAGTTAATCCAGAACGAGGCTCCTAGCCAAGTTGTAAATAGTGGAATTTTACTGAACCGAACAAAGACTTACCAGTCCGCCCATGTGCTGACTAGAATAACTAGACTCGCCTAGATACGTCCGATGATGTGTATATATGAAGAGAAATGTGTCAACGACTGGAGAAGGAATAACGAGATACCGCAGCCATAATATATTAACACGTTGGGGAAACGTGAGTGGACAAATATGCAAACACGAGGAGCATTAGAATTTGTCAGGGGGACAGATAAGGGTTTGAAGTATGACATCAGTCTATGTAGATGTTGCCAGAGACATATTTTGGTCTGCGAAAAATGAAATTTGTCATTCCTTATAAAGATGCACAGTCTTCGAGAATCTCGCGTTTTCGTTGACAACACTTGCTAAAGTCTGTTTGCGGTGAAAACGTACCGATGAATTTCACTTTAAACAAAAAAGTAAATAAAATAAAGTGAAATTAAGATTGCGAATCCTCAAAATTTTACCTTGCCATTTGAAAATTTAAATCTCAGAATTGTATTCAACTTAGGATAAAAGTTGTTTAACAAACGATCATAGTTTCAAATCGGTATTATTGGTTTGTATTACAAAGGGGTAAGCACGTTAAATGAAACACCGAGAACAAGGAGGGTTGGTCTAAGTTAACGCTCATCACGTACCGCACGTGCATTTGTTTCACTGTTCCAACTACTGCGCTTACCCCCTTGTAATACAAACCAATATAAGCGATTTGAAACTATGATCGTTTGTTAAACATCTTTTTTCCTAAGTTGAATAAAAATCTAAGATTTAATTTTTCAATTGGCAAAAAATTATGAGGATTCGCAATCTTAATTACACTTTATTCGAAGCGTGTTTTTCCTTTATAATTGAGGAACACAACTGAAGTTGCTAAAACGTCGTTAGGGTCGTGGACCAGATGTGAAGTGACCCTTTGGTTGTAACATCCCTAGTGGCTAGATCTAACGTTTCATGTCGGTTCTGATTTTATCAAATGCTCAAAGAAGAGACACTATAGTTTCCTGTGTTATATCTGTCTTGTACAAACTCTTTGTCCAAAGCATTTCCTCTTTTAGCAGATAACATATGTTGAACACAAATATGATCAAATTAGCTTTATAGCAAAACATCTTTTATTTGGTTAATGTTCCTTAATGTTGTCGACTTCTTCCCGTGAGGCGGTATCCGCTGTAAATACAATCCACAAAGGTTAAACCTTATTAGATATTTTACAATTGCTAATTTTGTGTCGTGTTTTGATGTTTTAATTGACCTTCCAAGAATCTTGAACATAAATTGTATATCCCGTGTCTGTTGCACAGTATTATTATGTGAGTATTGGTAACAGACACACATTTCTCAAAAGATGTAAAGAACACACACTTGTTCACATGAGTATATGTCATGGCAATTGAAGAATAACTGTAGTTATTCGAAAACACGTGTGTCCTTAACTTATTTTGAGTAGTATCCATACCAACTATCAAACGCGTACTTTCAAAGGAAGTGTAAAAGGTTTGAATAAGTAGCGAATGTGTTAGATATGAATATTGAGGTGTGCCGTTGCTAAAGAATCACACCTCAGCCTTGTGAAACATACTTGTTCAAAAATACGTTTTGGTCACAGTTAATTGCGTTCTGACTTGTCACTTAGATAAACGTTTCCCACCCGGCACCAGTGATGAAAACTGCAAGGTGATCTTGCAACTGTTGCAACTGTGAAACGTGACATGATGCTGGGTGAGGATCAGTTGTTGAGACAATGTTTGGTGGCAGCGGTCTATTCCCCGTGTCTGTGACTTTATGGTTGATGAGATTATGGTGAGGATTCATCCTCATTGGGAATCTCGTTATTGCTGACAATGTGATAAAATAATGTACATATACTTGTAAAGGCTGCAAATGTCGACGAATATCGTAATAAATGCTGGAAAAAGTATCCTCTTGTGTCTATTGTGTTTTAAGTTACTTTGTATATAAACAATCACATTGACCCGTGAAGCGCAGATGACAACCTTGTGGATATATTCCTTGGGTTGTGTGTTTATTTGTTCGTTTGAGTGTTTATTTGCCGCACTTAGCAATATTCCAGCTAACTGACGCGGCATGTACACAATAGAGCCTTGAACAGACAATCTAGTCCGCCTCACAGTCCCTGAACCACATTATTTTCCCGGCTGCCAAGGCCTCTCTGCAATGATAAGCCCTAAATGAAGCAAGTCTAGATTTCCTCATGCTCTGCATCTCAGGTCTCCCTGGGGCTCCTTTTCAATTTATATGGGTTTGTTTGTTACTATCAAAATTATATCTATTCAAAGACTAAGCGTTACTCTACAGGCAATCCAGTAATGGATTTTGGGTGCAAGTCGCTCTTGTTATGGTTGTCTGTTCAGGTTCATCGTCGATATGCCATGGGTATGGACACACAACGCTACTCGTCACTACCCAATACATAAGGCGGCTTTGTGGCGTAATCGTTAAGTTTAACCAACAAATCAAGCCCAAACGAGTGAACCCTCCTAATATCTCTCGTGCAGCACATGCCATCGCCTTGTATCCATTCACTCTACACATCGCGTCAATATCAGGCAACGGTGGTATCACACAATCTGACCCAGAGGCAAAGGTCAAGTACAAGGATAAGAACAGATAAGTCAAGTTGGGTTGACGTCTTATTCCGAAATCTTGTGGAGAAACGTATGTGTCCTAGTTCATGTATACCCTTTAACGAAATTCATCAGTGGGACATACTCTACGCCAGCCTGTCTCTGATTCCTTGTCGGTAACATTGAGGCGTAAATTGGAGCGGGACATCAAATCACACATGTTCATGGTTGGATACTACGTTTTCTAATAAATGATAGCTTATAACGACACAAACGTGGATACATATGATATTACTGATGGAGGCGTTGACACCTACACCATTTAATGATAAATGTACATGTTTTATTGTCAAAACAAGAAGTGTTTAAAGAAGGAACCTGCATCTGAATCCAACATTTCAATATCTTTCATTTACGTCCATTCACCAAAGCTATATTTGACAAAGAATGAAACACTATTTCCGGAATGCATACATAATTATGAATATGTCACTCATTTTCAAAATGACTTGAGGCCTTTTTAAGACTTTATTTAATCTTATATTACTTTTGAGACTTTTTTAAGACTTTGTTTAATCTTATATTACCCGAACGTTTAGTCTGCTATTTTCACGTTTCCAAATTGCAACATATTGCAGTCAGAATTAGACAGCTGAATCCGATAAAGTAGACTTAATCATCATGTGTCTCCGGAAAATTTCATATATCACGTAATTAACTGTGAAGATGTGTTGGTCAACAACACTCATTCTCCACACACCCAGATCATAGCAAGGGCAGGATGCGGTCACCGGGTAACTGAAGCTCGCCATTAAGTGTCACCCTTCTACAGATTGCTTAATTTGCACGCTTAATCTGTAATTTGTAAATCTTCGCTTGTTTTAGTGCTCAGGTGGTATAACGTCGGAAATACCTTAAGAAAGTGAGAGAGCCATCTAGTTTACTTCAGAACCCGTTAAATTGAATACAAATGAGATATAAATATGAAGGAATTGTAAAACGTCAAACAAAAAGATGTTATAGCAATCGTCCACGAGGTACGAGGACAAGTCATCTACCAATCAACCAACCTGACAACCCCGCCCATTTGGTTGTCTCTTGTGGTTAACATTGGATGCTGGGCACCTAATCCAAATCGGAATTCCTACGTTGGGATATGAGAAGATCTGCCTACAACACATTGTATGTTCGCCATGGTTAGTAAATAGATGGTATGGGTCATGATTTAACTGGAACATTGCAAGAAAGATGCAAAATCAATCTCACTAGAAAACTGGGGGACATCGACGAGATTATTATAAACAAGAAAAAATGAATGATCTCAGTTTCTTTACTTTTTTTCACACAAAAAATAGGGCACATGTTCCTATTATAACACAGGCTGAGATACCACTGGTCCATGGCAGTAGACTCCTCCTGCCGTTCTCTAACCCACCCCGATTTGGTACCTGGACTACGATCAAGTGTCACCTGGAGTCTCCAAATCTCGGTCGGCCATCTTGGATTTGTAATCTTCGTGTGACAGTAACGACTTCATCTCCCTCTCGAATTCATAAAGGCGGGGAAGAACGACAGCAATATATCCTTCAGTCTGAAACTAAAAAGAAAGGATGCATCGTAAATAAAGCGACAAAAGCATAAACGATTAAAGTACATTGTGTCATTCGGAGTATACCATGCGTTTATGGATGACACCATTTATTTGGTGAAAAGGTGTGCGTATCTTGCCCCGCCGGTGGGACCCGTCACAAACACATGTAAAGACAATTTAACCGTTCGCTTGAAAAGGACACTGGGAAACGTCAAAATAGGGAATTGAACCGAACAATTTGGTGTTCACTAATGCGTACATTTTAGGACTGTCCTTTACAAGTGAAAAATATTAAGTTTTTCAAACTTTACCTAGTCCTGGAAGTTTGCAAACCCTTTTCAAACAACTATATGCGAGACGAGCAATCATAACTGTAAGCGTGAACGACATCATAGAAACCAGCCCCTGATGAAAAATTGTATCGCATCGGCATAATGTGGGAATAACATCTTGGGTGAATTTCATCCGGTGTTGTTTTGGATATTAGTAGATAATAAAGGCCTTTTCGTGAGAGGACTTACATGACCAACACCAACACACCAGCACACCGACACACGCACACACGCACGCACGCCTTTAATCATATAATTGAGCTTATGACACCAATGGATATGTCGATAATTCACTTCTTAATAAAATATGTTCTTCGGCTGTCGCTAAAAGAAATTACGTATCTTTAGATTGAGTAAACATTCATATCAATATTGTAAATAATATTTTCCTTTATCATATTTGTTTTATTACACCACATCTATAGGTCGTCTGCTTCTGAACTGCAACAGCTTCCTTCAGGAATGAGACAACAAAGACAATAGGATGATGTCAAAGGAGAGTTATGACCTCCAGGTCAGCTGGCGAAGACTCAAACTATTGCCAAGCTTAATGTCAGACTTCTCACTCCCTGTTCTACAAAACTTCACCAGTCAGCAACCACACCACGCTGTCGTAGGTGATACGACCAGTCATCAATATGGTTTTCGTTGCTGATGTTTTTTCACTTTCAAATCACTTTACTAGGAAACACATTTATCTGTTTTATCCAACTAGCGGAAACAATGTCAAACCAGCTTAAGAAGCGCCCAGTTTGCAAGGAAACACCACAAACATAAAATGTCAAAGTTTACATGGATGCACATATCACAAGAAAACCATACCGGTTGACAGCAATTTTCGATTCTTTCAGTTTATTGCGCCTATTATGCTGTGGAATATTCTCTTGGCACACAGATGTCATACATTCCTTCTAATTTGACTTGATGTTGTGCAGTGTTCCTCAGTATTGATTTTCATCCCTGACTGAACCCAAAGAATCATGTCTTCCTCCCACTCAATGACTGTCAAGACACTTTATTACAATGAATAGCGCTGTTAATATTTGACACTAAAGTACTCAGTGAATGGTGTTTTCTGTCGAAGTCAGCAACTTTTTGCCAATTATCTATTCAAAACAATCGTTGTTATTTAATGCATGTCAGCAATAGTCAGGCTATATCAGGTGCGGTGAAAGAAGATTTAACGTTGTGTTCAAGGTTATTCAACTGATATAGTAGTGTGTGTATGTGTGAGTGCGTTTACGAGCTTGTAATAGCCCGGACCATGTGCAGTTCAACATGTATAACCCAACAGTGTGCTGATTCCTAATATACTTATCCTAATAATGCTGTGCGCCATGCTTGGTGGCGTACAGGGGTCTTCGGCGTCACGTTTCTCGATGGCTGTAAAGGCATACCGTTAATATTTTCACAGCTACATTTCGGATCCGGTGAGTCAAGTATTAATTGTCGCTGATAGCTACATTGTATGCTAATGCGTCAATAATGTAATGAACGAATTTGTCAACAGTACAAAATCGGTTTAAAAATCTGCTTCCAATGAGTACCTGGAGAGCTCATTGGACGCATCATGTAGCCAGTCATGTTATATTCACTACGCCTTAGAAGTAGCCAACATTAGCACTCTATTCCTTACAGCAATACAAGATATACAAGTCCCGTCCTAAATCATTAGAAAAACAAACCTGACGTCGTTAATAGAATAATATCAGTTACAAAATAAACATGCGGGCAAGGGAAATTTGACTTCAGATAAATCATTTTAGCTGGAAATGAAAACGAAAAAGCAATTGAAAGATAAAACACGTGGATGTTGCAGTAGAAATCGCGCAGCTAGAAAAAATAATCACCTCTCTTATCGCAATTCTGAGTTTCCAATTAAAGCCTTATTAACGATGATAGATATCTAAAGAAACAAAAACAGGACTGCTCACTGAAATTGACGACGAACATGATATCACTAACTAGAAGAGAACTGGCTTTCCATACTAGGGTCATAACATCAATTTATTTAAGGTTCTTATCGACTGGAGGCTTAGAGGATATACATCAAGCAGCCCTAGGCGCATCGCTCCGGTGATAAATAACCACCGCCTCGCGTTAAGACATTGCGCGCTTTCTCCTTGAAAAAAATGACAAGCACAAATTTGAAACTGGCAAGGGTAATGAGTTGAGTTAACAAATCACCCCTTGAGTTGCTACCATGGCATACGTACATGGTTTTTGTGGAAGACTAAAGCGATGGAAGAATCTGTAGTTTTAATTAGGCTAACGAACGATGTTCGTTCGAACGGTGCTATAAGTTAACATCGCTGACTTGACAGTATTTAAACTATCTCCGGTTGTAATGAGAAGGGACATTGAACCCTTCCCAGTATAACCCGTTGGCACTTAACAAGTTGACATACATCTGTGTCAGTAGTGTGTAGTACATCCACGAGCGAGAAGGGTCATCCGTGCACAAGGCAAGCTCTTCTCTATGGAAACCAGATGGCCATTTATAAAAAGGACCGGAATGATGATCACAGTTGCAAAAGATTAATCGATCAATCACCAATAATAATTAACTGACGTTGTCTTCTTGTCCATTTTGCGAAATGGGCGTCATGAGTTGCAACCTAATACAGTATAATGACTTTATCAAGGCGAACAGTGAAAACCCCTATATGCTATTCTTGTCCGAAAACCGATGGTCACGAAACCTCATTATTCTGGAAACCTCAATGGTCCGGAAAACTCTTCTTTTCTATTTCCGGAAAACTCTTCTTTTCTCTTCTATTTCTTGTTCTGAACGTATTATCTATTGCATATTTAGATTTCCATTGAAGTGAGTGAGTGTGGTTTTACGCCGCTTTTAGTAATATTCCAGCAATATCACAGCGGGGGACACCAGAAATGGGCTTCACACATTATACCCAAGTGGAGAATCGAACCCGGGTTTTCCGTGTGACGAGCGAACGCTTTGACCACTAGGCTACCCAACCGCCCAGGATTTCCTTTGAAACAGTATTAAGAGGATCAACAAGGTTTCATTATATAAGTACTACGCACTTCGTCTGTAAGTGAGTGAGTTTAGGTTTACGCCGCACTCAGCAATATTCCAGCTATATGGCGGCGGTCTGTAAATAATTGGGTCTGGACCAGACAATCCAGGGATCAACAGCATGAACATCGATCGACGCAATTGGGATACGATGACATGTGTCAACCAAGTCAGCGAGCCTGACCACCTTAACCCGTTAGTCGCCTCTTACGACAAGCATGGGTTACTGAAGATCAATTCTAACCCGGATCTTCACGGGTTCGTCTATAGGAACCAGGCATCATTTCGTAATCCTAATCCTTGCCATTAGCAATAATGAATGTAATATCAAAACACAAAATCATCCTGATAGAAGCATGGGTGAGCAGATGGACAGCAGCCGTGACACTCTCCGTATTAGTCATGTATCTAGGGGACAAATCGCAGTTACGAGGTCATATCTATACGTTATAGAAGACATTGCATATAAGGGAAGCTGTTTCGTGTGGACATTACATGACATAATCGGTAAACACAGCAAGGAATCAGTCACCTTAGAAAATGGACAAACATGGAAACATGCAGTGATCAAATACACAGCTACACATAATCACATAAACAGCTCAAAAGACATCAATGGTGACATGAATACAACACTGTGGATTAATGCCTCTTCCAAAACCACCGTAATTAGGTAGGCTGCAGAAGTAGGGAGAGTCTTGAAGTAGGCCCCCTCCTGGGGTCCTGTTATGTTACAACCAGAAATAACCCAGAGAATCCAGGATGTGAAGAAAATAGACAAGCGAATGACAGAGGGCCATATTGCCCCCACAGTAGACCTTCTTAAAGTACATTCCATTATCACCGGGACTTTGGCAAAGAAGAAAGTATCAGCAGGCTTCCAGAGTTTCGGACATCTGATGAAAGACGCATAGGCATGACATGCCTCGTTATAATCTGACTCTGTTTGACACTAATCCAGAAAAGTTCTTGCAACGATCTGTGACTTTGAATGAGGCAAGCGTTCACCCCATCGAAACAATAATCAAAACAGTGGAAGAAATTGACACCATCACTGCCAAAGAAGGCAAGCACTGTACCCCAAGTTCTACGGTCATCGAGACATTCCACTACAAAATCTGCTATTGAACCAATTCTGCTCAGTATATACTGGTAGGCAGTTACGGTATTAATGTACGCTTGTGAAAACCGAGCGTCACGCTTGGGACGGTTTAACCTCACTGTGCCCACCGTTAGTTACAGTAGAAATATTGGTTAAATATCATACGGGCATAAGCGTATGTAACATTACTATAGATAAACATGCCACTACCCTGCTAGGACTGCTGCTGTCGCTACCAACCCATTCGGGATATATAACTTAACGATAACACACGTGCTACTGCACATTCGTTGAAAACATTACGTAACGATTATCCCGTCTCGCATGCGATTGACTTGCCTTTGCATGTGTTTGTATCGAGTGCCACAGTTGGTGCAGGTTACGATCATCTTTTCGCAAAGACCTGGTATAATCACTATTTGATAGTGATTCATAAACACATGCTCGTGATACAGTCCTGAATCGTACGGAGGGATGTTTATGCAGATGTGATGCTCTGTCAGCCATCCGGTTTCCCGCCTCGTGAAGA